TTATATAAGAACATCTCAGAAAATTCTGGGCAAAAATATATCAATTTTCTTTTTCGATATTCTATCTCTGTTGTAAATTTGAGCTCAATCGGACGTGTGCTCCGCATTTGGCAGCAAGGTGAGAAAAGAGGGGGGCTACTCTTAACTTACTTGCAAATATTTTAATTCGTTTGGATGTATTTGTGGTGCATTTTTCCTCTCAGCTGTTCGACTTCACGTTTGTTCTCATTTAGCTGCGGATGTAGGGTGTTCAAAGTAAAATTAGTACCCTTCTGTGTGTCAAAAATCTGAACAGACTGAAGGCTCTTAGGGTGGAGCGCAATTTCTTATATTAAGAAAAAAAGAGTTATTCAAATTAGCTAGGCATACCGCGATTTCCTCTATTTTCCTAATCTACACCCATAAATTTCTCCTCATCATTTTCATCATTTAAATTATTATTTGTAGCTGTAATTGTTGTTCGATTAATACTGTTCAATTTCTTTTCACTAAACCAGAACTCTAATACATTTGTTATCATCAAGTGACGACGATGAGCACAACACTATATACGAATAATATTACTACCTAAAGTTCTACATGCCACCACCATATCTCTGCACCATCACATGTAACAGATATAACTTTTTCAAATATATTTAATTCATTTAATTTATCTTTTAATAACTGTGCAACTTTTAAACCAGTATGTCAATCCGATGAGAAATTAATAACTTTTGAAACAAAATTAAAATTATCAATTAGCCAATGACCCGCGATACATAAAAATGATGCTGATTTTTATTGTTATTTGTCCAGAAATCACAGGTTATTCCCAGTTTATAATCTTGTTTCTATAGAAAGTAGTTAAAAAACAAGATAGGTATTAATAGAATTATGATTCTAACACTGGCAGCACTTTGTTCTGTTTAAAGCCCTTTCTTCTACTCAAAATCTCAAGATTATGGCGAAGCTGAGCTTTTTGATATCGATGTTATTCAAATATAATAAATCAAATTTTCGCTCGCTCGAGAATCTCTTTTCAGCTAACATGATGTGTCCCTGATTTTGCGATAGATGGAGTATTTTTCAGTTCCACAAACTATTACTAGGCTAGAATATACTGTCATACAATTAAATGAGACATATGGATAAAAGTGCTTCGAGCTGACAGAATAAGCAAAATGTGTCAATATTTTCAAATTGAGTATGAGATTCATCGGAGAGGCAAGTATCGCACTCTGATTAGACTTGTAAGCACGATTGAAAAGTGGCGCCGGATATAAACGCATGTACTATAGGTTGTTTCCCGCTAGCCGTCAAAGATAGCCGTCAGGAGCCACTTTCTACATGAAAAGACGTAGAAAGTGACTCCTGACGGCTATCTTTGAGGGCTACCGGGAAACAACCTGTACTATATCACTATGGCGTAACAAGTAAGGAAGGCTTTGACTTTCCAAATTTGATTTCCACTCTGATCTTCACGCTGAAATAAATCTCCACTTTGCTTTTCTTCCCTTTTGGCTAACAGTAGTCGATGATGAGTTTGTGATGAAAAGCTGAATCAACTATGCCCTTTTATTCGTGCTGAATTAGAGTCAGAATCAGCTCCAAAAAAACTGAAAATTAGCTTCCACAAAACGCGTTTTCTTCTCTCTTGCTTCTTGATGATTCAGGGGATCGCATTACAAAAAGTCTTAAGCCATGGTTAAGCCTAAACCGAGGTTTAAGTCACAGTTAAGTCCTCGTCTTAGATTCAAACCGTATTACATAAAATCTTAAGTCATGGGAAATATCGTCTAAAGTTAAGACCGAAAACTTAAGTCATTGACGTATTTTTCGAATAGCGCAGGTATTTAACGCTACGACGACGAAACTTTTTAAGAAGGTTTACAAAATAAATATTTCGTTATTTTGTGGGTTTCTGTCCCAAGTTTGTCACTGTTGTCAACGACTTTTGAAAAGTAAATAAATCACCACCTTAAGGGTGTTTCTACAGATCGATCACATCCCCTACTGTGGTGTGTATGGAGTGTGAGTATGTGATCGATCAATCTGTAGAAGAACCAGCTTAAGTCTTTGCGTAATACGGTTTAAGTTTTCGGACTTTTACCTAAGTCAGTCTTAAACTTAGACTTAAATCGCGGCTTAAGTCGATAACTTAAGTTTTTTTGTAATACGCCTTCCAGAACTGCATATTGTTATCAATGCTTTCAACTCAAGTAACCACATGATGTTGAAGATCTAGGGAGTGCGCTTGATAGTAACAGTAATACTTTCCTGCTCAAGATAATACTGTTCTTAAATATTTATAATAGTCAAAGTTACCTAATTTTTATACTATAAATTTTTCACAGAAGTGGAAATCTTTGCTATTTACATGAAGCGTTTTCTTCTAATAACTGATTCAGAGCTGATAAATCTGACCGAAATCAGCTCCGAACTTTCGGAAACTGTTTTATTTAGAAAATTCAATCCTGATTCCGTCACCAGATCAGGCTTCCCGATCAGAGGGGGCTAGCTCCTCCCTAAAAACATTTTTGGACTTTCCGGCAAAATCTTTGACGTTTTTCCACTAGCGACTGTCTGCCAAAAATTTCGAAAATTTTTTTTCGCCAACACTTTCTACGAAGAAAAATTTTTAGCCCCTCCCATCTCTGAGAACAATCGGAAACCCTGCATCAAATTCAGAGCTGGATGAAGTGCTTAGAACTTTCATCTCTGAATCAGAAGATACATTTTAATGAAGTCTGATTCAACCCTTATAAAACTGCAAATCTAATTCAGATCCAAATCAAGATTTTTCAGTACAATAACCTCATTTTTGAATAAATTCATTTTAAAAATAATTCATTGAAATGTGAATGAGAATTTGAGCTATAAATAAAGAAGAAATTCATCGGATTTATCTTCCGCGGACTCACTGCAACAGCAATTCGAGTGTCTGATAGCTATTTCTTCATTTCTCCAATCAATATTTTCGATCTGCGACCATGATTGATGGGAAAAATTAACGTTTGAAAGGACTTGAGAATTTTTGGGCATAGGCATTCATAAGAGTTTATCAGATATTTTTGTGATTTTTTCCTCTCTTTTGTTTCGGTAATGAAAACTTGACGTTTTAGATTAATTTTTTTCATTGTTGATCAAATGACTACTTCCAAGACGATTCAGCGTTCAATTGAAATTCCTTTACATGATAGTGATGAAGTATGTTGTATATTTGTAAACTTCGTAGAACTACATAGAATATCCATCTGTTTGTATTGAATTTATTCTAGGTTATTGAAGTAAGTCTTGATCAACTACCAGTTTTGGGCCAAGAAGTATTGTCAATTCTTCAACAAGAAAATTGTCCATTGCACATATGGGTTACACTAGCCGTAAGTTTCAAACACTTTTTCTTCGAATGAGAATCCCCAAAGCCATAACTTTTATAAGCGCATTAAAAGAGTATATTTTTCTCTTTTGAAAATCTATGTGCTGAGGAAACTTTTATTTTGTAGTTCATTTTGCTCTATGTTCTAGTTGGAATATTATCGTCAAGGAAAAGAAACTGATTTTGTTCAAATATTAGAAGCAGCTAAAAATGAAATAACAAATCAAAAACAACAACAATCTCATCAACAACAGCAAACAAAAGAACAACGTCAACATGAAAATGATCAAATGAAATGTTTAGATACTTTAGCTGCTTACTATGTCAAATGTGGATATAAAGAAAAGCGAGGACAAAAAAAACGCGAAAATTTCACACAAGCAACATTATTATATACACATGCAGATAAGATTATGATGTACGATTTGGTAGGTGTAGACATTCTCTTATTTATAAACTTAAAATGGATATCTAAAAGATATATATTACGTTCAAGTATTCACAAAAAATTGGTAGATAGAATTGTATTTGTATTTGTTCGTTTAGAATCATCTTCTGGGTCGTGCCTACTTTTGCTTGCTGGAAGGTGATAAAATGGATCAGGCTGAAGCACAATTTAACTTTGTTTTGAATCAGGTTCGTTTAACAATCTTTTTTTATATGTCAATTTAATCATTTTCAGTTTTATGTAGATGCAAAATAATATTCCAGCATTGCTTGGACGAGCATGTATTGCCTTCAATAAAAAAGATTATCGTTCAGCATTAAACTTATATAAACGTGCATTAAAAAATTGTCCAGAAAATTCTGCTGGTATTCGAGTTGGAATGGCCAATTGTTTTGCTAAAATTAATAAACTAGAAAAGGCTGAGTATGTTTCTTATTTTCTTGTTCATGACAATTTCAATGAAATAGTTTCTTTGAAAGAAGTTTCACATGTTTCATCATTCAAAGAACAACTGATATAATTTTCTTTTTAAAGATTATCTTTCAATCGTGCAATTCAAATTGATCCCAAATGTGTTGGTGCTTTAGTTGGTTTAGCTATACTAGAATTAAATCAAAAACGAAATGAATCAATACGAAATGGTGTTACGAAATTATCTCGTGCTTATCAGATTGATCCACAAAATCCAATGGTTTTAAATCATTTAGCAAATCATTTCTTTTTCAAAAAGGTTTTTTTTGTTTTTTTGTTAATTATTTTTTGTTCCATATTTACATTTGTATGTTTTTAGGATTATCAACGTGTACGACAATTAGCAATGCACGCATTAAATTATACAGAAAATGAAGCAATGCGTTCTGAATCATGTTATCATTTAGCTCGTGCACACCATGCTGAACGTGATTATGAGGAAGCATTTCGTTATTATTATCAGGCAACACATTTTGCACCAGAAAAATTTGTTTTACCACACTTTGGTTTAGGACAAATGTATTTAGCACGTTCAGATTTTACAAATGTATGTAGAATTTTTTCTAGAGTATATAAAGAAATTTATTACAATTTCCTTTTTTAGGCCAGTGATTGTTTTGAAAGAATATTGAAAGTTCATCCAAATGATCATGAATCAATGAAGATTTTAGCCAGTATCTATTGTGAATCAAGTGAAATTGATAAACGAGATAAAGCTCGTGAATATTTGAAAAAAGTAACACAGCATGATACACATGATATTGATTCATGGATACAATTAGCTGAAATATTAGAAGGCGTTGAATTGCAAGGTTCATTAGAAGCATATTTGACCGCATCAAAATTGATACATGAAACACAAGAAATCGATACACCAGTTGAAATATTAAATAATATGGGAAGTTTATATTATCGTTTGAATAATTACGAAGAAAGCAAAGTAAAAAATAGGTACGAATGATCATTATATTCTCTTTTTAAAAATTATTTTTTTCTAATTCTAGCGTTGTTTTGAAATAGGTATTCAAAACGCTGATGTAGCTCGTGAAACTGAACCAGTGTATTACAATTCAATATTGGTGACAATGCGTTATAATTTGGCTCGTGTTTATGAAGCATCTTTTGAATTTGATAAAGCAGAAACATTATATAAAGATATTTTACGTGAACATCCAAAATATGTTGATTGCGTATTAAGACTAGGTTGTATGACACGTGATCGTGGACAGATATATAATGCATCAGATTGGTTTAAAGATGCATTAGAAATTAATCAGGTTAGTTAGAAAAATTAGTTAAAATCATATATATGTTTAGCTGGAATTAAGATAAACAAGATTTTATTCATGGAATAAATGTACATTCAATAAGAATTCTTATCATTTGTAGAGTAATCCTGATGCGTGGACAATGATTGGTAATTTACATTCAGCTAAACAAGAATGGCGTCCGGGACAAAAAAAATTTGAACGTATTCTACATAATACAAGTACGGCAAATGATTCATACGCAATGATATCATTAGGAAATATTTGGTTACAAACGCTGTACATACCAACAAAAGATAAAGATCGAGTAAAATATCTCATTTTCGATTCTGTTTTCAAATTTTTCTATTAATTTATTTCGTCATTTAAGGAAAAACGTCATCAAACACGTGCATTACAAGTCTATAAAACTGTATTAAAAAATGATCAACGTAATATTTGGGCAGCTAACGGTGTTGGTTGTGTATTAGCACATAAAAATTATTTGAATGAAGCTCGTGATATATTCGCTCAAGTTCGTGAAGCAACAGCTGATTTTCCTGATGTATGGTTAAATATTGCTCATATATATGTTGAACAAAAACAGTATATACCCGCCGTACAAATGTATGAAAATTGTTTAAAAAAATTTTATAAATACAACAATGTTGAAGTATTAACATATCTAGCTCGCGCATTAGTTAAAGGTAATCGTTTGAAAGAAGCTCATAATGCATTGTTAAACGCGAGAAGAGTATCACCACATGATTTAACATTAATGTATAACGTATCATTAGTACAACAAAAACTAGCCCACGAAACATTAAAAGATGAAAATAGTACATTAGCACCGGTGTTGCAAGCAATCGATCAATTAAAAATAGCTCAAAAGTAAGAATAAACAGAATTTTACATATAATTTTAAGAAAAAATGCTATTTTTCCAATTTTAGAACATTCACATGGCTATCTGAAAATGGCGATCCATCTAGAATTGATTTAAATCAATCATCTCAAGAAGCTAGGCAGTGTTCTGATTATTTATCACAATCAACATATCATGAAATACGTGCAAGAAAGAAAGATGAACAAGAACAATTAATTAGGCGTAAACAAGATGAAGAAAGAAAGAAATTACGTGAAAAGCAACTGTTTGAAGAGGTAGTTAAAGAAATTTTTAGAATTCATCTGATTTTTATAATCAAGAATTGTCTTACTCATTCTAGCAAGAACGTCATCGAAAAGATGAAGAACGTCGTCAACTCGAAACTGAGAAACGTCAAGAATTTGTTAAACGTAATATGAATTTGTTAACAGCAAATGAAGCACAAGAAAAAACGGAAAAACAGCGACCGAGTGGAAATAAAAAGGTTTGTTATAGTTAACAAACTTTTCACTTTTACTACGTTTATATTCTTTTTTGTAGCGAGCTAGACAAGCTGATGACGAAGAAGAATTTATTAATGATACACAAGATTTGATATCAAATATCGAAAAACAGAAAAAGCGAATGAAAAAACCAACAGGTGGTGATGATACAAATGAAAATATTACACCAAAGAAAAAAGAACGAAAACCACCAAGGTATTCTATATGTGATGATCTATTTTGTTTTTGTTATCTAATTGTAAATACTAATTCTAATTTATTTTTTTTATTAGTAGAAAACGTAAAGTTCATGACGACGTTTTAGACGGTGATGCAGAAAATTATGAACCAAAGCGCAAGAAGACGAAAGAAAAAAATAGAAAAAAAGTGAAAATAACCATGTCCGATGAGGAAAATGATGATGTTCAACAAGAAGAAGAGATTGATGATTTAGAAGAAAATGAAGATGAGATTGATATGATTAATGATGAAGATGATGATACAGAAGATAGAAAGAAATCAAAGAAAAAAGTAGGATTTTTTAAAAACGTCAAAAATAGGTTTACCATTATAATAATATTTACCATCATTGTTTAGCAAAGTCAAAATCGTACAAAACGTGCCACACCATCGAAACCGGTTCGTATTAATTTATCTAAAACTATTTAAAATCTAATCTGTAACCATCGTTTTATTCTGAGTAACGAGATGCTGAATGATCAGTTGATCTTTATTTCTGATGATCTTTGATCTTTTGATTGATCTTTATTTTATTTTTGAATTGATCTTGAATCTTTTGAAGATTTTTAATTTAATTTAATTTTTATTTAGCCTCGACAAAGTGATTTATCTGGTAGATATAAATCGAAAGCAACTATATCAAGTAGTGAATCAGAGGACGAAAACAATGAGAAAAAGACACCAATCGAACAAGAGTATGTATTGAATTTTATAATAAAAATAATTTCTATTAATAGATTTGAGTTAGGATAAGATAATGAGCTTTTTTTTTACCACTGGTACTCTTTCCACTCAGATATCGAGATAGGATAAATGATTTACTGTGTTGTGTTTTTAGATCTGATAATGAGACACAAGAACAAGTGATAGATGAAAAGGAAGATGATCAGAATGAACAAGAAGGTGAAGACGAGGACGAAACTCAGATTGAAAATGAAAATCCATCAGCAAGTGAAGACGAAGAACAACAACAAGTAGATGATCAAGAGGAGGAAAATGTTGACCAAGATCAGAATGATGATGAACTATCTGAAAATGAAAATGAGAAAGCATCACCCGAATCGCGTATAGAAGATTTAGTTGTGAGTGATGAAGATTAAATTAGAAAAATTTATTGTTTTTTTATATATTTTTGTGTGAGTATCGTTTTGGTTGAAACTCACTATTTTTTCATTTTTTCATGTGGATGGATGAGTGTTATTGTTATTTTCTTTATGTTCTTTTTGTATATTTTTTGTATTTAAAAATTCGTGTAATAAAAACAAAATGTGATAGAAATGACAGATATTTCTATTGATTTTGACAATTTCTCTTTCAATAGGCACACTACAATTTTAACGTTTAAATCGAGAAGCTTCAAAAGGTATTCGATAGAGAATATCATTCATCCCAGCGGCTTGCCCAGCTAACAGTCTCCTTTTTTCGCTCTTTTTCAAAGAACTATGGCAATAAAGTTAGAAAATAATCTAAAATTACAACTAGATGATTGAGTAGATTAAACCTTTCTCTACAAAATGAAAAGTGTCTCGACTCTGAACGTTGATTCGTTATGAATACAGCTGTTATACAAACAGCCTCAAAAATCGATGGTGAGACTATCTAAAAAGCGTGTCTAAAAGAGTGAAGACGAGCCGGCAAAAACTGAACAAGTATACCAGTTTGTATTGTCGGTAAAAAAAAAGAATGGACTCGGATGTTTTTTGAATAACGTTTGACAGAAAAGTGGTAGATGCTTGCGGTCTTCACTAATCGAAAGCTAGGACCTAAATGCAGCTTTTCACAATGAAAG